AGGCAGATAAACCTAAGACTGCATTTAGTTATGGTCAAGGTCTCTGGTAATATCGTGTGATGCCATTCGTGCTAGAAATGCTCGAGCAACATCTGAGAGGCTGGTGGAAAGGATACTGGAAGCCCTACAATGGAGGATAGCCCTAGTGTACCTAGACGATGTCATTGTATTTGCAACAACTTTTGATGAGGAAATGTCCCGGCTAGAGAAAGTATTCAAGCATTTGAAAGCAGCAAACGTCAAACTCCATCCAAAGAAATGACAATTGTTCCAGAAAGAGGTGCTTTAATTAGGTACATTGTAAGTGAGCATGGTGTGCAAACTGATCCTGACAAGGTGAAAGAAGTGCGTGATTGGCCAACACCAGACAATGAGGGAGGGTTAAGAAGTTTCTTTGGATTTTGTACCTATTACCGGAAGTTTGTGAAGGACTTTGCAACTATAGCTGCTCCACTACATGGTTTGACCATAAAAAGGCTAGAAGTTTGAATGGACAGTTTCTTGCCAGCATGTTTTCAAGACATTGAGAGAAAAATTGGCCTCAGCTCCACATTTAAAGCTTCCAGATCCCTCACTGCCGTACATACTTGATTGTGATGCTAGTAATATCGGAACTGGATGGGTGTTGTCTCAGAAAGTGGGTGAAAACGAACATGTGGTGGCCTACTTCAGTAGGGTTTTGAGCAAAACACTTGCTTTTAGAAAATCAATTATTGGCTTCAAATCTTGGTCTTTCTCCTGTTCTGCTTTGATATCTATATTTGGTTCCACTTCACCCTCATCAACTCTTTCAGTCACCTTGACTTCAGCTTGATGGCACCTGGTTAGCTCAACCTCTCTTTTGCAAGAATGTCTGCAGTCATTTTTGCAGGGTCTTCGGCTCAGTCCATCGGCATTTCCATGGGATTTTCCTTCTCTGTATTCAATATCATAATTATACTGGTCTATCTTTCCAAACCAACATGCCAGTTGTCCCTCTGGGTTCTTTAATGATCCTAACCAGCGTAACGCAGCATGGTCTGTCCTAATGGTAAACCTTGCACCATAGAGGTAAGGATGGAAATATGTCAAACTCTTTACTATAGCAAGGAGTTCCCTCCGTGTTACACAGTAGTTTCTCTCTGGTCTACGCCCTGCTTGGGAGAAGGTGTCTAGCTTAAGCCCTGTGACAAAGAACTATTGGGCACAATGGGACCAGTTGAAGCTTGAAGATGTTATTCTTCTCCGGAGATGGGAAACTGCAGATGGGAAAGTGACGACCTGGCAAACGGTTATACCGAGAAAGTTACGGGATAATTCCATGATAATTTAACAGGAGGACATCATGGAATTAAGAAGATACTGAGTCACCTACGACAAAGATTTTACCGGATAGGTATGAGGCAAGATGTGGAAGAATGATGCTGGACATGCAGTACATGTTGTGCTAAAAGGGGAACCAAGCATAAAGGACGTGCTCCAATGAAGTTATATCAAGTTGGTACACCAACAGAAAGAGTAGCTGTTGGTATTGCTGGTCCTTTGCCCCAAACTCGTGCTGGAAACAGGTACATTTGTTTTCGTGATGGATTATTTCACCAAGTGGCCTGAAGCATATGCAATACCAAATCAGAAAGCTACAACTGTAGCTTTGGCTATTAGTGATTTCTTCTTCAGATTTTGTATGCCATATGAACTGCATTCCAATCAAGGCCGTAACTTCAAATCAGCTGTTTTCCAAGAATGCTGTATGTTGTTTAGCATTCGAAAGGCCAGGACAACGCCACTTCACCCACGGTCCGATGGGATGGTAGAAAAGTACAATTGGACACTGTGACAGGAATTGGCAAAGTTTTGTAATTGCCGCCAAGATGAATGGGTTGTCTTACTCCCTCCACTGTTGATGGCCTATAGGACAGCAGAGCACGAAGCCACTGGATACACTCCAGCAAATTTGATGTTTGATCGGGAACTTCGGTTGCCAGTGGATCTGTTAACAGGACGCCCACCTTATGAAGAAAATGTGTCAGAGTTTGTGAAAGTGTTATTGGAAAGGATGGATGATATTCACCATCAAGTGCGTTCAAACTTGAAAACGTCTCTTATGATAAGAGATCTACTGAAGTCAGCTTTGTACCAGGAGACAAGATGTGGTTGTATAATCCCAAGAAGACCAAATGGAAGTCTCCTAAGTTGTCTTCTCCATGGGAAGGCCCATATGACATAGTGGATCGTCTCTCAGAATAAAATGTGGTCGGCGAGGTAAGCCAAAAGTGGTGCATGCCAACAGGCCTTGGCGTTATCATGGTCCAGAACATTTCAGTTGTGATGAAGTGAACAACGGAACAAAAGACGCCACTGTAGACGTGTCACTTGAAAAAGCCTCTGTCGAAGAAGAAGAAACTCTACTCGGTTTTGAGAAGGGAAACAGTGAAGCTCTTGATGAAGTTACTACCACTGATGTGACTGTTACCAATGATAGGACGTTTCCTGATGAAGCAGATGAACCCCACATCAAGCAGAAGCCAACGAGAAGGAGACCAGTACGGAAGAAGGTACGTCCCGTAAAATTAAGAGACTTTTTTGAATTTTAACTTTGTGTTTATAAATTCTGTACAT